AACAAGAGGCCCAGAGAGAATAAATACAGAAGTGGACTGGATGTCTCTGAGACAGAACAAGATAGATTTCTTTTGTTGCCTTGGACATCAGAACTCATCTGCCTTCACATTCCAGGATTTACAACAATGGCCCCAAGTTCTCAGACTTTCGGCCTCAGATTGGGAATCATGTCATTGGCTGCCCTGCCTCTGGGGTCTATGGACTTGGACTCACGCTACCAGAATCTCAGGTTTTCCACCCTGCAGGCAGCCTGTGGTGGGCTCCCCAACACCGTAAACATGTGAGTAGTTTACAGTAAGTCCCTTGTTAAATATCTGTACAAACCTATTAGTCCTGTTTCCTTCAGAACTTGAATGCACCCTCCCACCTAAATGTTTGCTGCATTGCACGGGATGGCCAAGGAATCCCAGGTTTTATCTAGCTGTCCAGTACCTATCACGCCACCTGACATCAAGCCACCTGGCATTTTCACACACTGGGTACACTCTTTTCCATAAATTTAGGCTGTACATATCTACCTGAGTTTATTTAGAACTTGGACCTTGACTTTCCCCAGATTAATCTGGATTCCAAGGTTTTATGTACAATCTCCATCCCCTCATCTTTTTAAAGTTTGACCTGGACTCTGCCATATGACTCTAAGCAGGACCCCAGCCTCTGGCATAGGTTTGTTGGCCCTCCTGGTCCCCTGGTTTCCTGGTTTCCCGCTTCCTTAATATGAAACCCTTGGCAGGTCCTCAAGTCCCCCAGCTCAGGCTAAGCCAACCAGCCAGCTGCCTTCCTGGCTGAAGAACCACACACCTGGCTTCAGATAGCTGGTACAGAAATGGTGCCCAGAAGAAAAAGCGTGTGGAATCCTGGGGTCTCAGGTTTCAGGTCCATCTCCAGCTCATCATGGGGCTTGGGTGCTACCCCCAATGAGGCTAAAACCACAAAGGAAATGTCCACCTGCCTCAGACTAAAGGCTCATTGGCAGACAGGGATGAGTGCCAACATGAATTTGGAAGCTCATTTTCCCTGCTGTTAAAAACATTTTCAGAAGAACACACAACCTATCTGGAGAACCTGGAGAGTAGACATACCCCAAACCAATCTCAGGAGGTCATTGATGCTAAATAAATTTCTTTCCTTGGGAGCAAGATGAAAAACGGAGAAGGAAAACTTATCAAACACTATGTGCTAGACATGTTTTCATGCCAACTGCCCAATGCCCTGTATCCTTGATGACCCCATTTTTCAGGTGAGCTGTGCCACTCAGATCAGATTATAATTTACCCGACAGGGACCGGTAGCCAAAGCCAGTAGGGACAGACTAGCTCTTTTTCAGGACTGCCCCCAAGGGAGAAAACACAACAGCTGGCAAAATGTTCTGGTTACTCATGACACAGCCAGACCTCCATTTACATTCACATGTGCCCAGACCCAGGGTCTCAGCCCTCTCATTTCCTATTACCAGCCATACAAATGTGAAGCTCATCTTCTAGAGGGGATGGTTATTATACAGATTTCCAAAGTCTGAATATTTCCCCAAGAAATTCATTTGTCGAGATTTGGTTGTGAGAGGATGAGGAGGGTAAGCATTGACCTAACTACTGTGCTGGGAGGTGGGGCCCCTGGGATAACACTGGCATCAGGGTGGCGTTCCATGGTTGGATGCCCGTGCCTGTGTAACGAGACAGAGAAGCACAGACACATGAGCTCATGCTCTGCAGAAGCTCTTGCCATGGTCTGCCCTGGGCCACTTTGGGCCTCTTCTGAGAGCCCCATTAGCAACAAAGCCCTCACCAGATGCAGCCCACAGACTATGGACTTCCAAAGTGTGAGCTGGATAAACCTCTCTTCTTATAAATCACCTAGACTTGGGTATTAAATTATCAGCAGAGAATAGACTAATACAGACACATAACTTCTCCTCTAGAAAGCCATTCTGCCCTTTGCCTTCCCACTGAAGACTGTTGAGATCCTGGTCAGACAGCAAGCAACTGGATTTTACCATTCTTAGAGCCATTTTCTACAGCTGTACCTTCTACCGAGAAAGGCAATAGAATGTAACATAGTCATTACATCTTGTTCCAGAGCCAGGCAGCCCAGGTTCAAATCCTGACTCCACCATCTACCTGCTGTGTGACCTTGGACAAGGTGTTCATACTCTTCTGTGCCTCTGTGTGCTCACCTGCAAAGGGGGAGTGATAGCAAGCTATCTCATAAGTTGTTGTAAAGATTGTCAGTGTTCATACAAGAGCAGACACATATGAAGAATTTAGTAAGCTACTACCAGTATTACAAATCAATTCTATTACAGTTTAACAAAGTCTTCTCAACCTCATTGAACAGATGTGGGCGCTGAGACAGAGAATGGTTCTCCACCCAACCGCATCTTCCCTTGCCTCACATCCTGCTCATTGAAGGCAAGACCAGGATTACGACAAAAGATCTCAGGCTGGCCCTATTGCCTAGTGGTTAAGGGAGCCTGATCCCACAGGCACAGCCAAGATTCAAATCCCCACACACCAGGTGCCTGGGTGCCTTTTCTCCAACAGGACAGAGGAATGGAGGAGAGGGGATTGTGGCACGACCATGCCTTTCTGGGGGTGCTTTTTCCTTCTCCCACTCTCCCCTTCTCTGTCTCCCTCTGGCAAGCACACTCACCCTCTGGCAATTAAAAAGGAAAAACTCACCTCCCAGTGCCTCATCCAGGCTTTCTCTCAGCCTGCTCCTCGAGCCCAGAGGCAGAAGAAGCAATTAAGCTGTTGACATCAGTCCTAATCTACTGTCCCGAAGTTCACCCTGTCACAAGACCCACAAAGGAGTCACCACAAACATGCGTTTATTTATAAACCTACAATGCTAACCTCTTCACTTAAAGGCCTCTTGGACACTTGCTGGTTAAAAGCAGCTCAGATTCTGCCAGAGAAACCAGCTCACACTGACATCTTGTCTCCATCTGCTTTGGAAAACCTGTTCAGAGTCCCCTAATCCCTGTGCACTCCATTCTTCTAAGGTTTCCACCATTGGGCGTGGGTATTCACTGAAAGCTCTCTCTTTTGAAAAATTCCCGTGCTTTGAGTCATGCCAAAATCAGAGGGAAAGGAGCACTGCCAAAAGCTTCGACATTTACATAAGCTCTTGATCAGCCCTCCGGTTCATTACGGAGGGACATATCAGTTACACCGCTGTCCAGGCGAAGGGACAAGGTCTGAGCATCTGCTCCTGGACAGAGACACAGAGGGGCTGGAAATGGTGCTCTCTAAGTGTTACTTGAGCCCTGGTGACAGCTTCCAGCTTCCTCCTTTCTGAGCGCTCGATCTTGGGCTGCTTTGTGTTCGGTCATTCGTTTGGTAAATATTTACTGGCTCCTTTGATGGGGAGCATGATACACGCTGTACAGTAAATAAGCAAATGAGATCTGACCCCTGGCTTCATGGAGCGTCTAGTCCAGATGGAAGACACATGCTGATTCAAACAGAGGGGACTGTGGAGGGAACAGTCAGAAACAGAAACCTGACCGCGTCTCTCGTCAAAGAATTAATGCACAAATTGAGTTGAAGTATGAGTTTCTGTTGATGCGAAACATTTTTTGAAATCTATTCATAGTTATTTTGTAATATGCATGTGTCATGAACTTTTTGAGGGCCCCTCACATACCTTTATTCTAGAGCAATGGAAAACCACCGAGATGTTTCGCCACAGTATCTAAGGGAATTACGACCCCGGTTCTTATAAAATGTTCTCTCCTGTATCACAGCTCTCTTTACTCTCTCACCAGCCATCATAGCAACCATTTTTTGCTATAACTCTGTCTGTTATGCTAATTCCTTTACATGCATTGTCTCAACCAATCCTCACTCCAGCCCTATAAAGAATGTACTATTGTTATCCCATTGTACGGATAAGAACAGCCTCAAAGGTGACAAATAATTTGCTCAAGGCCACAGAGAGGAGATGAGATTGGAATGCAGGTCTCTGGTTTTAAGGTCCAAGTTTAGAGGGCTTATTTTTATCAATAAAAGAGAACACATGCGCTTGAGAGAGAGCGAAGCACCCTCGATAGGGTCTCATCACTCCACAATTCCTTTTCCCCAGCCCTCTAGTTTGTCAGGATCTTGGGTACCCATATGCACACCCAGGGAGCCAAGTTGTGTTCGGCCATGTGGCTTCCAGCACTGCAATTCAGTTTGCTGCAACTGTACCAGCAGGCTGGGTTTCAAGATTCAAGGATTTTTTTTGTTTTTTGTTTGTTTGTTTTTTGGGGGTTTTTTTAGAGGTTTTTGCTATAGGGCTCGTGTGCTCACCAGAAAGACAGAGAGAGACAGAGAGACAGAAAGCGAGAAATCACCCCCCAGGGGGGATGGCCACGCTGCAATCCCTTCTCCTCCATTCTCCTCTCGGGATCTTGGAAGATCCAAGTCTTAACAGCACGTGGTTACTGCACGTTCCCGGGAGGCAGGAGCTGGGCTTCCTGATTCGCTTGGTCACTAGAGCCTCATCACAGTCCTTGCGGAGCGGAACTGACTGCTCACGTCTCCAGCTCTCCTGCCTCCCCCCGCCCCATCAGAGCTGCCATGTCTACAGCACTTACTGTGTGCCGGGTATGGTTTCGGCATTTTGTGTCTGTTGGCCTGTTTTCCTTTTTACTACATTCTCCGAGGTGAGCGCTATTATTTCCATCCTTTCCATTTTACAGGTGAGGAAGCCTGAGTGACAGAAAGCCTGACAGCTTGGCGGAAGGCACAGTAAGAAGCGGTCAGCAAGGGTGCTAGCCCAGGCACGGCGGATGCAGAGCTTGTCTCAAAACCCCTAGGGACTATCAGTCCTCTTGCAATCCAGCCATATGGACCTCCTTTACGTTTCTGGGGATACATGGCTTCCTTTCACCCCTAGCCTTCACGAACACCAGTGTCTCATCCAGCATATTCTCCTACCCTCTACCCCACCTCAGACGCCCCGTG